GTATATAAACTAAATCCTGCTAATACCAGATTTACAGAGCAGGAGGCAGCAAGAGTATAATCAGCTCAACCATCTTCACAAAGAAGAAAGTTTCTCTGTCTATAGGAGCATAAAGTAGGCCAATTCAGCTTCTGGCTACAGAGATATATAAATCCTAGGTCATCAAGGATGAACAAGGGCAACCCTTCTAAAGCTAATAAAGCTACAACCTCATCAAAGCTGTGAACACCCAAGCACATCTTTCAGCATTCACTGCTTATTTTCCTTAAAATATTAACAAGACAGGAAAATTTCTGAATAACTGAAGTTACCCTGAAAACATAAAACACCAACAAAAAAAAAAAAAACTTATGCTTCAAATACAGAAAAAAATTGAATGAAGCTAAAAATTCTACCAAAAATTCAAAGAGTCAGGAAACCTATCATATATATATGGGGTAAATACAAAAGGAAACCCTATTATCAGAGACAGATAACTATCAATCTATCTTGCATATATATATATATATATATACACACATACATACATTGGAGTATACCCAAAAATTCAATTGAAATCCTAAAAGGGGTAGACCCACCATAACCTGTATCACGCATTCGCCTATCAATATTCTACCAAATCAGATTGAATGAAAATTAAGATTTATCATAGTTAAGAAAAAAGGAGCAAAAATGCAGAAAATAGAATGAGTGCAACAAAACCCAAACATCATGGGTCGAAAAAATCACCTTAGTTGAGAGCTCCTCTTCGGCTCTTCCTCTTCCTCGGCTTGCCTTCCTCTGTCTGCATAGAAATTACAAACTCTAACAATTTAATTTACTTTTTTTTTTAAATAATATATTTGGGAAGAGTAAATCAGAGCGTTAGCGAATTAGGTTTTCGTTTTATGTTTGCATATATTTATGTTTATCTCAATTATTTCAGTATTTTTTCTGGGGGAAAAGGAAAACTAAAATTTAGCATCAAATAACATGAAAAAGCTTAACATCTTTTCTCCATTTTCATATCAAAAGAATATACTAACAATCAATTGAAAACCACTAAAAAGGAGAAATTCAAACCTCAATTGCAACCTCTCTGTGTTCTGATCGAAAGTGGGACTGAAATTCTCCGATAAAAAAAAAAACACAAAAACCCAGAAAATGAAATCAAAGATCGGAACTTTGAAGGGAGCAGACAAATGGGTACTTGGTATTTGACAAATATATATATACGAAGAGAGAAGATGAATATTCGTAGAATATTTAGTTATCTCTCTTTCTCTCAAACGGGTCAAATTTGCTCAGCCTCGGTCACGGCCACGAAGAGAGAAGATGAATATTCGTAGAATATTTGGCTATCTGTCTTTCTCTCAAACGGGTCAAATTTACTCAGCCTCGGTCACGGCCATCCATGGTGGGTGGAAATCCTCCATTCCGGTGACGGTTCGTCTTCGGTTCTTGCCATGTCAGCATGACGACTGAGACCCACTTTCACTTTTTCTGATGTGGCAAAATCACATCCGTTCAACACACATCTGTTTTCGTTGATCAATGATTTCACGTTAACGTACGCAGATGTCAGACTGTATTTTTCTTCTTTTTCTTAAGCTTTTTGTTTT